AGAGTTAAAAAAGAAAAAAAGCCAGAGAGTGAAGAATTTGTTATGTCGGGAGTGAGGTGAGGGGAGACAAAGAAACATGGTTCCTGCAGCTGAAGGTTGACCAATCACACACTTGCCTTAACCTGGTGTGACATTGCACCCTGCTGGCCATCTGTCCACGGTTCTTGTGGTGTGACTCCCTGCTCCCTGACGCCTGCCTCACTGCTCAGTGTTCACAATACCTTTAGCTCAAAGTCACCTTACTTAAGGTCAGGGACAGGAAGTGTGCTGGGGGGAAGAGGGATCATGTAGGGATTTCATATCCCCCAAGGTTCCCAATGCCCAGTGGAAGGGGCAACCGAGACTGGACGCACAAAGCACAAGGAACATCAGGAAGCCCCAAGCCCAGTGGCAGTGCTCTAGTAGGTACTGAATTTTTAGGTGAAATAGTTTATGTTCAAACTGAGCCCTTTCCTGCATGGCAGCACTTCCCAGTTTTTGATCGTAACAAAAATGTAAATTATTTATTTTTAAAAAGATTTTATTTATTTATTTGTCAGAGAGAGAGAGAGCACCAGCAAGGGGAGCGGCAGGCAGAGGGAGAACAGGCCTCCTACTGAGCAGGGAACCCCATGTGGGACTTGATCCCAGGACCCTGGGATCATGTCCTGAGCTGAAGGCAATCACTTAACCGACTGAGCCACCCAGGCACCCCAAAAATGTAAATTTTTGTAGTTGAAGTGTGAAAGAGTGTAAAATTTTTTGTGATTGATTCTCTTGTCTCTTCCCTTAAATCTTTTTAACTTTATTCCAACCCTCAAGATAGGAAAATTTTTACCATATAAAACCAAAACTTGTACCTGTTGTTACTTTTCAACACTCTTAGCTGGCAAAATCAAAAGAATTTTATAGTGAACATAGAGACCCCTCCACAATTAACATTTTATTATACTTGTGAATTACAGAGCTATCTGTCCTTCCATCCATCAATCTTGGGATTTTTAAAAATGCATTTCAAAGTAAATTGCAGTCCTTAATAAACTGCCCCCTAAGTTTTTCATCTTGCATATGATTTATTAGAGTGAAATATTAATTTATAGTTTCTTCTTTTGATATACAATTTATAGACAATGAAATGCACAAATCTTTAGGGTATATCTGCCACTTTATTTTCACAAATGCATTCTCACTGTGTAACCCAAAACCCAGTTGAGATACAGAACATTACCATCACCACAGAAAGTTTTCTCATGCACCTTTCTAGGCAATCCCCATCCCTCAGAGGCAATAGCTATTGTTCTGATTTTTTCCACCGTAGGTTAGATTAACCTGTTCTACAACTTTATATAAATGGTATCATTGCCATATGTACTCTCTTGTGTAAGATTTCTTCACTCAGCATAGTGTTTTTGAGATTTATCCATCATAATTTTGTTCTTTTTATTGCTAAATAATATTCCTTTATATGGATGTACCACAGTTTATTTATCCTGTCAGGGATAGCTGGGTTCTTTCCAGTTTTTGGTTATTATCGATAAAGCTATTATGAATACTCCTTTGTATTTGCTGTTGCACTATATCATGACTTGACCTTGGGGTAGAATTTGTTAGTTCCACGAGTGCAAGAAACAGCATATAATGGAAAGCATGAGCAACAGAGAATTAAATCTTAATTCTTTCTGCTTAGAGTTCTTACAGAAAAAGCAGTTCATCATTTAGAAGATGCTTAAGACCTAACTGAAAGGGAGTTCAGCAGTAAGGATATTTATTACTTATTTCCTGCATAAGACTTCTGGAGGCAGGGCAATTCCAGGCTGGTTCAGTAGCTCCAAATATCATTGAAGAACCCAGGAGCTCACCTCATACCCATTAGATTGGCCATTATCAAGGGAACAAACAAAAACCAAACAAAACAAAGAAAATAACAAGTGTTGGTGAGGATGTGGAAAAATTGGAACAATTGTGCACTCTTGATGGGAATGTGAAATGGTACAGTTTAGTGGAAAACAGTGTGTTGCTTTTTTTTTTAAATTTATTTGAGAGAGAGAGAATGAGAGATAGAGAGCACGAGAGGGAAGGGGGTCAGAGGGAGAAGCAGACTCCCTGCTGAGCAGGGAGCCCGATGTGGGACTCGATCCCGGGACTCCAGGATCATGACCTGAGCCGAAGGCAGTTGCATAACCAACTGAGCCACCCAGGCACCCAACAGTGTGGTGCTTCTTTAAACAATTAAAAATAGAAAAGAAAATTAAAAATAGAATTACCATATGATCCAGTAATTCCACTTCTAGGTATATACCCAAAGGAATTGAGAGCAGGGTCTTGAAGATTTGTATATGAAGATTTGAAATTTGTATATCCATGTTATAGCAGCATTATTCATAATAGCCAAATGATGGAAGCAACCCAGCGTCCACTGATGGATACACAGCATGTGGTATATACATACAATGGCATATTATTCAAACTTAAAAAGGAAGGAAATTCTGACACATGCTACAACATGGATAAACCTTACATTAAGTGGAGTACGCCAGTCATAAAAAGACAAATACTATGTGATTCCACTTATATGAAGTACCTAGAGTAGTCACGTTCATAGAAAATAGAGTGGATAGAGTGCTAGTTGCCTGGGGGTGGCGGGGGAGGGGAGGAATGTTTCAGAGTTTCAGTTTTGCAAGATGAAAAAGTTCTGGAGACGTTGCACAACAATGTGATTGTACTTAAACATTACAAAACTGTACTGTTAAAAATGGTCGAAATGGTAAATTTCCATGTTATATGGATTTGACCAAAATTAATTAAAATAAAAAAAACAACCGAGTAGCCTTTGATCCTTCTTTGTCATCTTGTGCATATTTGTAATGTTTTCTCTCATGGTTGCAAGCAAGATGGTAGGTGCCACTGTTAGACATCACAGCAGATGGAGTATGTCCAGAGAATAGGAAAGGTCTTCCTGTTGTTTTTTAGGGAGAAACCTTTCTCAGGAGGCCCCAGCAGACTTTCCCTCTCAGCTCCCATTGGCCAGATTGTGTCTCATGCTACAAGGGAGCTTGGAAAGCAAGTATGTACCATATTTCATCCTCTGTAGAGAGCAGCAGACTCTTCTGGAGAGAACAAGGGGTTGGGGAATGGCTTTTGGGTAGGCAGTTAACAATGTTATCTTCTGAATGAAATACTGTTAGGGAAGATGGGTCCTTCTTTGTGAGCTCAGCATTGGTGGCCACTGGGAGTGGTGACCAGAGCAAATCTTGGTTGATACAAGGATGATGCTCTTGGCTTTCCTTTAACATATGCAGGGCCAGGGCAAGATGACAAATGAAGACCACCAGCTTGCCCTTGTATTTTTCCCACTCCTGCCTTTTCCCATAGTATGAAGGACTTTTTTTGTTTTTGTTTTTCCAGGAATTTTGTGAGCCAGTTGACTTAATATTGGTATCTTGAAATTGGCCACAGTGGGAATATTGATACTATGGAGATCAGTAAATGCTACAGATTAGGATTCTTTGCATCCCAAGTACCAGTGCCCTGCTGAGCCTTTCACACATGCTCATGGACACTCCAGCTTCTAGGTCCAAGCTCTATTCATCCCCTCTCTTTTACCATCCCTTGGGCTGAGTGCTGTGCATACTGGCAATGTGGTCTGGCTGTGGGAGGACCAAGGAAAGAAACTTCTGCAGGCCCTGGAAGCAGGCACTGGAAGCAAGCCCAGGGTCATTTGGGTAGGGAGTTCAGGTACTGGAGCATGATCTGGAATGGGATATGGATTCTGGGCATACTTGGTCTGAGGACAGTGGAATAGCTTTAGACTTGGAACTTCTAGAGTGTGACTCCCGGGCAGGGGGCCAGTAGCCTGGGTGGTAGGGTGGGCAAGAGAGTGAAATACTTTTGTCCACTCTCCCCCATCTTCTGCCTTTGACTGGATGGAAGGGTACCCTTCCATCCCTCATATACCTGCCTAACTTCTCAATGAAGTTAACTTATCAGAACCCATTCACAGGCTATGTTTTAGTAGTGGACAGGGTTATTGTGTCTTAAAGTTTAGGATCTTTGCAAGATGCAGCTTTTATGATTGCAGTATATGGGGCAAGCTCACCTGTGACTGTACCTGGGTGTGATGCTCAGGTTAGAATCATTTCCATTTTAGATTCAGGAAGGAGGGAGAAAGAGGCCTCCTGACTTGAGTCTGTTAGGATTTGATGTAATCTGTACCTCTTAAGAGGAGTAGTTCACAAGGGGTAGTGCTTAGACCAGCAGCATCAGCATCACTTGAGAACTTACTAGAAATGGAGATTCTGTGGTCCCTCCCCAGACCTCTTGGATCAGAAACTCTGGTAGTAGGTCCAACAGTGTCTTAATAAGTCCTCCAGGGGACTCTGATGCAGGTAAAAGATTGAGAACCACTACTCTAGAATATAACTTTAGTGTAATCATTTGCTAGGGCTGCTGTAACAAAGTGCCACAGACCAGGTAGCAAACAGAAATTTACTTCTTACAGTTCTGGAGGCTGGGAGTCTGAGATCTAAGTGTTGGCAGGGTTGTTTCCTTCTGAGGGTGACGAGAGAATGCTCTGTTCCAGGATGTTTCCTTCTGAGGGCCATGGGAGAAGGTTCCTCTCTCCTTGGTTGTAGATGGCTGTGTTCTCCCTGTGTCTTCACATCATCTTCCCTTTGGGCATGTCTGTGTCCAAATTTCCTCCTCTTATAAGGACACCAGTCTGATTGGATTAGCGCTGACCCTAATGACCTTGCTTTAATTTAATGACCTCTTTAAAGACCCTATCTCCAAATATGGTTACATTCTGAGGTACTGTGTGTTAGGCCTAAACCATACAGATTCTTTGGAGGACACAATTCAGCCCATAAAACTTGGGAAAACCGGTCATATAATTTATGTGCCTTTCACCCCAGTCCCCATTATGAGCTTATTAGAGGTCAGAGACTGGGTCTTCCTTGTTTTTGTAGCTTTAGTGTCCTACAAGATGCCCAACAATCTTTCGGTAAATTTAAATCGACTGTGGATGGAAGAACTTCTTGATGTTTTATTGGGGTTGTAATCTTAAAACACTTTTTTGTATGTGTATGTGCAAGGCACACATCTCAAAGCTTATTATGGTCTCAGGCCGTTTTTTCAAGGAGGTCTGATGTAGCATACTTACTGGCTGAGGTTTTACTACCTCATGTTGCTATAGATTTTTGAGTTGCTTAATCCTGCTTCTTCCTTTTGTGTGTTTACATAGTGGGAGCATTCTTCTGGGGCCATAGAAGATGCTTGACTTCTAAACTCTCCCAGAAACTTGTTTGTTTGTTTTCTTCTTTTCTGCCTGAGAGCTTTTGAAAAGAAAAGAAAAGAAAAAATTAGCCCTGCTTCAATCAAACATAGCAAAGGATTCTAGGTGTTTGTATTTTGAAGAACTCAAAACCAGACTGTGATAAGCAGATAATTGTCATTGAGAGGTATCCCACTTTATTTCCTAGGGATTTTCTATTGTTGCTTTTCCATTTAGTAGACAGTAGAATTACAAGTTGCCATGGCAACGTATCCATTGCTGAAGTTGCCTGGGCCTTAAAGACACAGAAACCACATTTGGTTTTATTCCATAGAGCTGACATTGTTATACAACAGAGCACAGCAGAGTGAATGCGGAATTAGAGCAGACATCCTGCCCCCACTTCTTTTCCCTTCCTCCCCTCTTGTGGTTTCTGTGTTTACCAGGCCCCTGAATAGCCCAGTGTTAGAAATTGTATAATTTGGTCTCTGGAGTTCTTTCAAGAAAACAACCACCTTGCTGTGTCCCATGCAGTTTTGTTACCTTTGTTAGTAACAAACTATGGGAGTTAAGGAGGTTTGGGGATGGTTGGCATATATGTAGTTAAATTCCCACTTCATACAAGGTTTGACAAATGATAGACTTCTGACCTTTCTGCAACTGCACATCTTTCCTTCAGGTGGGATAGCAAAAGAACACTCCAAAGAAACTGAAGACTGGTTCTCCAGACATTTCCAACTAAAGGGAAGCCAGAAAAGCCTGGCAGACCCTGGGACCCATTCTTGGTTATGGCCAGAAGTAGAATTAACTGGCTAAGCTTGAGAAAACACTGGAACTTTGGCAACTGCTCTAAATGAATTTTCTCGTTCCTCTGAGTTTTGCCTGTAGCCACTGTATGCATTATGTTACAAAGCTAATTATAAAAGATCTTGAGAGCCAAGGGAAGGCTGATTCATCTGATAAGCTAATTTGAGAGCATACCTTGAGCCTGGGTTGTAGTACTTCCAGTAGGCACGATTGAGAAGTTAAAGAATAAAATAAAACTTCCCCGTAGCTGCTGAAATTGCAATTGCCTGAAGTTTGCTGGCTCTGAAAGTTTAGATTTTACTTGGGTGTATTTATTTCCAATCTTGCTTAATTTCTTTTCAGGCTGTAGGCCATCATTCAGTGCTGATTTTTATGGCTACTTTTTTTTTTTATTTTTTAAAATTAAAATTTTTTTAGAGGGCGAGAGAGAGAGAGGAGGGGGCAGAGCGAGAGGGAGAGGGAGAATCTTTTTTTCCCCTTTTTTATTGTTATGTTAATCACCATACATTACATCATTAATTTTTGATGTAGTGTTCCATGATTCATTGTTTGTGCATAACACCCAGTGTTCCACGCAGAATGTGCCCTCTTTAATACCCATCACCAGGCTAACCCATCCCCCTACCCTCCTCCCCTCTAGAACCCTCAGTTTGTTTTTCAGAGTCCATCGTCTCTCATGGTTCGTCTCCCCCTCCGACTTACTCCCCTTCATTCTTCCCCTCCTGCTATCTTCATCTTTTTCTTTTTTCTTAACATATGTTGTATTATTTGTTTCAGAAGTACAGATCTGTGATTCAACAGTCTTGCACAATTCACAGCGCTCACCATAGCACATACCCTACCCAGTGTCTATCACCCAGCCACCCCATCCCTCCCAACCCCCACCACTCCAGCAACACTCAGTTTGTTTCCTGAGATTAAGAATTCCTCATATCAGTGAGGTCATATGATACATGTCTTTCTCTGATTGACTTATTTCACTCAGCATAACACCCTCCAGTTCCATCCATGTCGTTGCAAATGGCAAGATCTCATTCCTTTTGATGGCTGCATAATATTCCATTGTGTATATATACCACATCTTCTTTATCCATTATCTGTCGATGGACATCTTGGCTCTTTCCACAGTTTGGCTATTGTGGACATTGCTGCTATAAACATTGGGGTGCACGTACCCCTTCGGATCCCTACATTTGTATCTTTGGGGTAAATACCCAGTAGTACAATTGCTGGATCGTATGGTAGCTAAATTTTCAAATGTTTGAGGAACCTCCATACTGTTTTCCAGAGTGGTTGCACCAGCTTGCATTCCCACCAAGAGTGTAGAAGGGTTCCCCTTGGAGAGAGAGAATCTTAAGTAGGCTCCATGCCCAGCATGGAGCCCAGTGTGGGGCTCGATCTCACAACCCTGAAATCCTGACCTGAGCCAAAATCAAGAGTCAGACATTTAACTGACTGAGCCACCCAGGTGCCCCTTTTATGGCTACTCTTCAGGGACCAAGAAGGGACCTCCTTTTTTGCTATAGGAAGTACTTTATTTCATGGGGAAAGTGGGATCCATTAATGAATCAGTTACCCACCCAGGCACGGGGGCAGTTTCAGCTTTTACTAGGACTTCTTTGAGCACTTAGGGCAATCCCAGACCTTCCCAGTTAACCATATTTTTGATATGAATGATAATAATAGCAGCAGGAATTTAAATTGGGAAGGCACCTGTTGTAATAGTTCCCAGACTTCTCTCATTTGGAAACACATAATGGGTGTTTTAGTTTGGGTCTCCAAAAGCAGACTGGAAGACAGGAAGTCAGGTGCTGGAATTGATGCCAGGAAGCAGAGATGAAGGAGGGAGTGCTGGAGAGAGAAGGGAAGAAAGCCAGTAGAGGGGGTATTAATGAACCAGCTGCCACTGAGGCCAAGTGTCTCTCTCTCATGTTGGGCACCATCTGACTTCACCTCAGAACTGTCCTGCCAAGGGATAAGGAAGTTGAGTATTTATCCACTGACTCTATTATTGATTGAGGTTTGCCCTTAAGGGCTTAGCTTTTTCCTACATAGAGAGAAAGCTCTTAGGCTGAGAAAGAAAGACCTGGGCCCCTGAAGTGGGTCACTGTCAGCGATCACAGGAACTGTCCTCTGCAGCTGTAGGTGAACTCAGACATGGGCCAGGGCAGCAATAGTGTCTGTTTTACTCTTTTTGAGTATCCATGATTATCATGGTGGTTTTAACATCTCATCTGCAAATTCTTGGCATACTTCCCATTCAGAGATGGGGATCTTTGGCTTTTTTTCCTCTTGAATCTAGAGAGGTTTGGGACTGCTTTGACCAATAGGATAAAAAGGTGATAAAAGTGATCTATGTGACTTCCAAGGTTAGGTCATAAAAAGCCATGCAAATTCTACCTTTGTTTCTGGGACACTTGCATTTGGAGCTTTGATCTGCTATGTAAGAAGTCCAGTTACTCTGAGGCTGCCATGGTGCAGAGGCCATGTGTAGTCAGCGGCTCCAGCTGAGCTCCCAAGCAATGGCTCCCAGTCAGCTGCCAGCCATGTGAGTGAACCATCTAGGATGTCTAGCCTAGTTGAACCTTCAGATATCTGTAGCCTTGGTCAATATCTGACTGTAACCCCCAGGGAGAACTGTCCAGTCAAGCACTGCCTGAATTCCTGACTCACAGAATCTATGAGAAAAATAAATAATTGTTTTACACTTTTACATTTGGAGTACTTTGTTATACAAGAATAGTAACTGGAACACTTATCCAGGAAACTTTTGGTATCGAGGAAATGTGCACATAACACCTTTTGGGGTAGGGTAACCTGCCATTTTTCAGAGAAGTCACTGGAAGCCCAAGGAGGTAAAAATATTCACCTGAGCTCACATTAGCATCTTTTCCCCCAGCTGTGCTATTAACAGTTCCCCAGCTGCTGTCTGGGGATGCCGCAATACTGGGAGATAATATTTTGAAAAGGGCTTTGTGAAGAGCCTGGTAGCACCTTGCATTCATACTGTGCCTTTTCTTTACTTACTTTGGAATTCTCCAGTGTTACCCTGTTCTATTCAGTTGCAAGATTGTATGGACTGCTGCTTCATAGAGAAACCTTTTCATTTTCTTTATCCAAAGCAGTTAGAATCAAGGACAAAGGAAAGAAGGGGAACGACTTGTTTAATCTGGAAATCTTTCCACCTTGTGAATATTAAATTTGGACAAAAACTCTTAAGAACTTGATGTTCCAGGGGCACCTGGGTGGCTCAGTCAGTTAAGCGTCTGCCTTTGGCTCAGGTCATGATCCCAGGGTCCTGGGATCAGGCTCCGCATCAGGCATCAGACTCCCTGCTCAGCGGAGAACCTGCTTCTCCCTCTCCCTCTGCTTACGACTCCCCTTGCTTGTGTGTGCACTCTTTCTCAAATAAATAAATAAAATCTTAAAGAAAAAAAAGAACTTGAGGTTCCTGTCAAGAGGATGTTTTACAAATTCTGGGACTCTTTGAGGGGCTGGGAGAAGAAACTTCTCTGAAATTTTAGCCTCAGAATCATATGAACTTTGAAATAATTCTTACAAAAGAGAATGCCAGTGTTGTATAGTGTAATGCACTGTAATGAATGGAGTGTAAATACATTCAACAGCACATGGATTCAATTTTCCTTGATAATACACTTGGATTTAGAAATGAAGAAGAAAAGCCTTAAGAAAATATGGTTTTGGTTTTTTAAATATGTAATATTAGTTAAAAAGAATTTCAAAACTCTAAACTGTTCTGACACCAGATGAACCCAAACTCCTGTCATATTTAGTTCATATTGCATTTCTAGTTCAAACACCTAGACTGATTTATTACCTGCAGTTGATAATAATCAACCTGAAGTTGAAAACAGTCCTTCTTTATGTTAAGGAGAATAAAAATTTTGAGATAAAAAATAGTTAGTCTGATGGTTTTCCCTGACTCTGTGTGAGTCATAAAGATTATGTGGCTGGGTTTCAGAGACTGACGGTTAAAATGGTCCTAAAAAAATTTAACTGAGAAGTGATCAATTCAGAGATTGCATATAGATAAATCTTCGTCATAGGTTCTAAAGTGGCTGGACCTGCACATTCCTTAGGATCCCTGAGATGCAACCTTATGTCTTCTGTTTATAGAATGCTGTAAACCGTACTGGGACTAATTTAGGTTTTAGGCACAGTAAGGAGAACTGCTGAGGAAATGTGCACCCAAAGTTCTCCGGGCATTCTCTAACTTAAAAAAACTAAATAAGATTGTAAATTGATATGTGTGTAGAGTGTGTATATGTGTGTGCTTATTTATATATACCTGCCTCATTGCCAAATAGAAGTTAGCTTGTTCCTTTATCCCATGTATTTCCTGTAAACTGGAAATTACAACTAAAGACTTGATTAGATTCAAGTTAATTATTTATGGCTACAATGCACTATAGGTGATGTTGTAGTTTCATATAGCTTCATACCTATTTATGTAGCTCATGATTCTGAAGGTCATTCTTCAATTTGGGCTGGGCTCAGCTGGGAAGATCTAGTCTAGGCTGGGCTTGGTGGATCTTGGCTGGGTTTATTCATGTAGCTGGTCAGTTGGTAGTTTGACTGGTTTGATTGGCTTATACAGGCACACCTCATTTTATTGCACTTCGCAAATACTGCATTTTTTTTTACAAATTAAAGGTTTGTGTTAACCTGGGTCAAGCAAGTACTATTGGTGCCATGTTCCTAACAGCATTTTCTCACTGTGTCTCTGTGTCACATTTTGGGAATTCTTGCAATATTTTAAACTTTTTCAGCATTATGTTTTGGTGATCTGTGATCAGTGATCTTTGATGTTACTATTGTAATTGTTTTGGGGTTCCATGAACTGCACCCATATAATAACGATGAGCCTAATAGATAAATATTATCTTTCTCCCTCTCCTCTGGCCTCCCTATTCCCTGAGACACAACAATGTTGAAATTAGGCCAATTAATAACCCTACAATGACATCTAAGTGTTCAAGTAAAAGGAAGAGTCAGTCGATGTGGCAAACTTCATTTTTGTCTTATTTTAAGAAATTGCCACAGCCCCCCAACCTTTGGCAGCCATCACCCTGATCAGTCAGCAGCCATCCACGTCGAGGCAAGACCTTCTGTCAGCAAAAAGATTACAACTTGCTGAGAGCTCAGATGATGGTTACCATTTTTTAGCAATAAAGTATTTTTAAATTAAGGTATGTATATTGTTTTTTATACATAGTGCTATTGTGGACTTAATAGAATACAGTGCAGTGTAAACATAACTTTTATATGCACTGGGACACAAAAAAATCAATTTGATTTGCTTTATTGCACTCTTCATTTTGTTGTGGTGGTCTGGAACCAAACCTGCAATATCTCTGAGTTATGCCTGTAATGGATTCAGCTTGGATGGCTC